GCGGGGTGGTAAGGGCAGAGGGTGGGGTGGGAACTGGTTGGAGGGGAGCTGTGGGGGGAAAAGAAACAACTGTAACAATCATGCTTGTTTTCAAGATTGATTTTATCATTTTCCTCTCTGTGTCTGCTTCCTGTCCCTGAAACTTTGTCACCTTCTTTAAATACCACGCCCGAAATTTCACAGCCCCACTCTGCACCAACCTTCTTCCTATACACTATACAATATACTATTTCACTTATTTATCTTGTTCATAGTCGGTCTCCCCTGCTAAAATGTTTATTCCGCCTGGTGGGCATGGCTCAGTGGTTGAGCTGCGACGTATGAACCAGGTTACTGTTTGATTCCCAGTCAGGGCACATACCCCAGTTGTGGTTGGAGTTGTGGGCTCAGTCCCCAGTGGTGGGCCTGCAGGAGGCAGCCGATCAATGATTCTCTCTAATCATTGATGTTCCTGTCTCTCTCCCTTTCCTTTCCTCTCTGAAATCAAAACAAAGATATTAAAAAAGGTGAACTCCATGAGGGCAGAAATTGTTGCGGCTTTGTTCATGATGGGTCTCCAGAAACTAGAGCAGTGCCAGGCATCCAGTAAGTACTCAGTGAGTATTTATTGGATGACTTAATGAATTCACCTTTCCCCTCACTCCCAGAGCCAGCTAATTCTGCATCTGTGGTGACTTGCTTCTACAAGGCAGTACCCATATGACTGTGAGCTGATTTCTCAACAGAAACTATGCAGGACAGAAGGGAGTAGCAAGAAATATTCAAAGTGATCAATAGCAAGAACCTACAACCAAGATTACTCTACCCAGCAAAGCTATCATTCAGAATTGAAGGTCAGATAAAGAGCTTCATAGATAAGAAAAAGCTAAAGGAGCTCATCACCGCCAAACCAGTATTATATGTCCTTTTTTTTTCTTGTGCTGCTGCCGTTTGTTCAACTGTCATAATTTCTCAGAACTATCACAAGAGCCTGCCACCTGCTAGCTAATGAAAGCTGGCAAGTTATTGAAATCATCATAATTCCACATGTAAAAATGGGGATGGTACAGACTCATGAAACTGTCACAGGCTTATGTACATATATAATGCATGTGAGTGCTTGGTCTGGTGCCTGTAAAACAGAATAGACACTCAGGGAATATTAGCTCTTGGCTAGTTCTGGCTTAGCTTTCCTGCCTTGTCTCCTGCCCCATATGTCCCTTAACCCTATACGTTGGCTCCAATGGACCCGTTGCGGTTGCCCAAACATCACATGCAAGTTTGTTGTACAGGTAACGCACAGCAGGAAGCAAGAAGCAGGCAGGATCAGCTAATTTCTTTCTCTCTGCCATATAAGGTACTTTCGGACCACAAAGCCCTCGGTTTGCATCAAAGGAAGAACAAGCTGAACGCTTTTTATTTTTCATTTTTATTGCAGCGGATCTAAACCGAAACTAAGAGTGTTTTTTGTTGAGCCTCGAAATTTTGGCTAAACCGATTCATAGGTTTTTAATATTTTAGATGAGAACAGTGAGACCCAGGAAGAATAAGTAATGTACCGGACGTTATGCAGCAAGACAGAAGCTAATTGGGCAAAAGCATTTCCTTTCCTAAACTTAGGGTTTCTTATTCTTCAACGTGCTGGCGATAAACTCCAAAGAGTCTTGTCTTAGGAAAGCTCGCTTCCCGTGCCCCCAGAGACAATTCCCTTGGATGCAGATACAACTTTAGGTAGCAACTGAACCGTTTAACATTGACAGAAGGTAGCAGCTTATCAGATAGCATTGCGAGCCCCACCCAGAGCAGCACAACACCAGGGAGTCCCTCCGTGACTACATGGGTTTGTACGGGTATTTACCTGGGCCAAGGCCGGAGAGAAGCGAGAGAAACTGGAACCACCAGATCATGCTCTTAGCATTGGTGCTGGAGACTTCTCGCCACCATTCACGAGTAAAACTGCAAGTGCTTCAAATAGAAACTTCCGCTTCCTCTTAGAGGCGTGGCACCAAAGAAACTGAGGTGAGAAGAGCAAGGACCACGGACCCGAAGCCCTGGGTGCCTAGCAAAGGACAATTGTAGGAGGGGGCCTCACCCTCAAGGTGACCTTTCCTCCCTAGAGATAATATTTAAGCCTCAATGGTATTTCAGGCCCCGAAAACAGGAAAACCGGACAAGCAATGCGATGGCTGACATCAGGACAAGCTGCCTTGAGGAACGAGCCCGTGCCCTGGTGCTGACTCATTTCCGACCCTGAAAGCGCACACCTAGAAAGCTGCTGAATATTCTATTGAGGTCTTCCCCTGGGATCTTCCCTGAAATCTTCACCCTTAAAACCCGTAGGATGGAAGACCCAGTGATGGGGAGCATAAGACATTTTGGGGGCTAGCAATCTGAATTTGTCCCAGTGACCTGCTTTCTACTGCACTCTTTTGCTAGCCCATAATTAACTCCATTTGTGAAAGAACGTAGAAAACTAGCAGCTGGACTCTGTTCCTAAGTTAATCAATGTTCCTAATGCACATTCCTGAAGTCACTGCCCCTTCCTTAATTATCTGGTCTTGCAAGAGCTATTTACCTAAGTACTCTCAATTCACAAGGGCTATAAACCAAG